CAATGCTAATTTAAAAAAAAATGTACATCTGCATGGACACCGTGCATGGTAAAGCTGTGAGATAACAACTTGCCTTAATGAACGGCGGAATATAATTCAAAAATTGAAACTTAACTTTGGCTAAGAAATGAATTCTCTAATTGCCTGACATAATATCAAACAATTAATAACTTATAAATTAGGGCAATAGTGCAAACTAAACTTATAAGTATTGCTGCAGGACCTAAAATGTTTCACCTTTTTGAAAACTGGCTCTCTCGTGTAGTTTTAGTTTTTAATATAAAAATACTTTTCACTTTAAAACACAAACTTGCAACACAGCGATTATTATTTTTAAGTGAAACTAAATTTTGACCCACCAAACTTTCTCAATGGCCTTACCAGTTTTCTGCTAATTTATATTTTTGATACATCGCAAACACACAAATTTGATAGCTTACAAATGAGTGATAAAAAAAAATTTCAATTTATTACCAGAATAATATAAAAGCATTATATGAGTCTCCGTGTCAATTTAAAACATTCAACCAGCAAATGTAATACATTTAAAACCCCATTAATTTAAAACTTTGCAAGTGAAGAAAACGCCCAGTCATCTTCTAATGCGTCACATGGCTGGCGGTCAAAAAAAGGGTCAAAAGCGGAGAAACAGCAGAGTTAAGTGTTTTTAAGGTGCATTGCATTCCACTATTGTGTGTGGCGTGTGCTGTTTTCAACTTAATTGTGTTGAAATCAACAACGGCTGCCTTATGTGTGGTCTTATTTTCCTCTTCATTATCGCTGCACATGCAAGCGCCGCTGAAAAGCTCATCTCGCGCGCGGTAGGAAGCGCGCCTAGAAAACTATATGGGCTCTTTCATTTCTCGCGTGTTTTTACTCATTTATATCCTCAACACAGCAAGCCAAATTGATATCAGAGCGAGGTTTATTGTTACTATCCGAACCGCGTTGTTTTCATCCGAGCGCCGCCCGTGGACAACAAAAAGGGGAGAAAATGGGCTCATTTTCCGTCGCTTTTGCTACGCTCGGCTTTAATTTACTCTTCCAGCTCGACTTCATTATAATCAGGTCGGCCAACTCGGAAACTATTATGTTGTGTCTGGCAAGGTGGGAGCAGAAAAAAGGAAGAAGAGTATGGTCAAAATAATTACTAAAAGAAATAACTAACTGCAAAAAATGCATAATATATGGAAAACCAGAGATTATGTATGAAAATTTTTAAAAATTGATATTTTTATCCTAAAGCAATCTACTTTAATTAAATCTAATAATATCAAATACCTTTCTTTAAAATTGTTATGCAGCAACACAAATAATATTTTTCACTTGTCCTTTATTTCAACGCAATAATTTTAAATATAAATTAAGAGTAAATTTCTATACTGCACTCTAAAGCCCAGCATAGAAATATGGAGGAGACTTTAACGACCGAAGTTTATTTATCATCCGATTCAGAAAACGACGCAGTGAATGTACTTTTAATCCAGCACGCATCTGCTTTTGATTGCAAGTTGCGCCAATAAATTAAAAAAAGCAGGACATTCCTCTGTATATAAAACCCGCGTTTTATATTCTTGTGTAAAATGAAAAGCACAGGTGCATCTCTTTCTCTCTCTCTCCCGCCAATGATATATAATTATATAGACGGCACGGCGCAGAGGATCGCGATCGCCAGCGACTTCAGGAAAAACAATAAAACATTTGATGCGAGAGGATCGGAGGCTCATATTATGATTATCATTATGGGCGCTTTTTGCCCCGCCAACGGTATTAGCATATCGGAACGCGCTTCGATTGTAACTTTGTAAATTGCAGCCTTTCGAGTGTGTTGACCCATTGTGCTCTGTTTTCTTTTTTACTCCCATCGAACGAATTCGAGTCTCCGGTGCGCAGATAATTGACCGCGGTGTTTATTTTATTGTTAGAGAGAGCAAGCAAGCCTAACAGTGCGTGCATAAACGGAGATCGCAGAATGGAATTGATGTGTGGAATAAAAAAGTCAATCCGAAACGCCACCAGTGGGAACGAATGCATATTATTTATTCATTCCAAATATTATATTGTGCTCTTGAATTGGGAACTGAATGGCACGGCGAAATCTTTTGAACAAATCAAATATGGTCTCACGCCAAACTTTTTAAATAACGGTTCATATTATCTCTTATAATAATTTTAGTTAGTAAATTTTAGTAATTATTATTATATTAATAACTTACACAAATAAAAAGATATTTAATATAAAAAAAAAAAAAAAAATTAGACATTAATTTATAATAAAACTATTCTTTATTTTTATTTATTAATACTTATTATTTACATTATTTGGAGTTTTTTTATATTTGTAATTTAATTAGTAATTGATAAATTCAGGTGGTGAAACATAAAATAGATTGCAAAAAATATATAAAAAAATTTATATATATATACAATACTTGCATAGATAATGAAAATTATCAATAGCCTGAAATACTGTGACATTATCTAAAATCTAAATATACATTGATAATAATACTTGAAAAATTTTAGTTTTTAATAATTCAAATAATGAATAAGGTTGAATAAAAAAAAATGCCATAAATAATTTTTGCTTTAAGCAGATTCTTAAAACAACAATGCTCTGATCTGAAAAGGCCGTAGCTCTTTCAAACCAAATTACTTTGGCTCTTAAGCTATGCATTTCATGTAGTCCGAATGGCACATTATTCATTTCTTGATGCTGATAAAATGAGAATATAAAATGAGCTCCCTGTTCTTTGAGTGACAATCAAGTCCGCCACATTTGAATATTCATCATTTGATTGGACCACGAGATTAATCAAGGAATTTCGTTTGAATAAAAACAAGTCCATTATGTCCGAAAGCGGATCGCAAACATCAAACCAAACAATGCGCCAACGAATTGTTTTTCCTGCAAAGAGAGGCTAAGTGTACATTTTATCTTGCGGAACGCTAATTGCTGCTTTTATTAATTGAAACTGCATCTTCTTTGTTTGGTGTGAAATTTGCAATTAGAAGAATGAATTTAAATGCACTACAATGATAAAGAGCACCGTTAAATGGGACCACCCAAAAATATATATTTGAATTTAGATCAATAATGATGATATTGTGAAACACAATGCCCTCTTCTCTCATCATTCTACTTACTTCTTTTTACAGTTAGTTGCAACGTCAGAGTAAAAATGAAAATGAAACATGATTGTTTTAAATTTCCTTATCAATTTTTCTACCGAATGTTTCAAAGAACTTAGTTGAAAATTAAATTTATAATTAGTATCTGCATAAGACTGCTTATTATCCTAGTAGCGAAAGTATGTAAAGAAAGCAACACGCGTTTCAATTAAGTTGAGCAGGTCATATTTAGTAAAATAAAAAAAAATGTCAAGAAAATTACATTAACTTAATTTGATAACTTTATAAAAACTTAAAAATTATATTTCGTATTAAAAAATTTCTTTCCCTTCCGATATTACATTTCAAAGCAAGATAAAACTGTCAATAAAAAAAGACAATATATTGATAAAAAGAAAGTTCTAGAATTTTCCGATGTCTTCCTTTTTCACCCTTGCAAGTCACACGGCGTATCAGGCAAGCACGCGTGCCGCTCTAACTGTTCCAACTGCCATAACGTCTGTTCCATAGGCAGCAACAGTTTTCGGTTTTCACCCCACCCCATCCACTTTGGCTCGTGCCGGATTGATTCAAAAGTTTCTTCCGATACGATCTCTGTGAAATAATTTTGCTGTCGGGAGGGGTGTTTTTTTTGGAGGGAGGCACTTGACTTTTCACGTGCGTCTGGCACACGCCACCTCAATTACGGCGCCGATCACAAATGAGCCGCGGCGATAAAAATGAGCGAGAGAGACGCGCAGGTGAAATTCAACATCTTGAAGGCGGTGGTAAATTTATATAATAAAATAACGGCCTGTGCCATGGCCGGGGCAGGTGCCGCGCGCTCAAAAAGAGAGAGGTGCCGCATTAGCTAGACGGACGGCAGAGTCACCTGCGCGGCCGTTAATTCCTCTTTCTCCCGGTACACTTAATGCATTCACTAGGGGCTCTTCTTCCTGTTCAAATTATGTATATGGCACCCGAGTGCGATTCTTATCGACCGACTATAGATCACGACCACCGTCCACAAGCCATATGGCCCTCAAAATGTTATTTCTTTCCGAATCTAGATTTTCCTTATTTACTTTTGGTGAATCATAATGTTTCTCTCAGCAAGACTCGTATATAATCAGCACGACTCTCCATTTACCAGGTGTGGTTTGTAAGGATCATGTTGTCTTTTTTTTAATACATGAATCATCATAGCAAAATTGCGCAAGGAAAAGCTTGAAATTTTAAAAAGAAAAGATAATTTGAAAACTGATTTAAACCGCTATAGTTGATTCTACAATAAAAGTTAATCTTCATTTAAATTTCAAAAATTAAAATAATGCTGCAAACAAACTTAGTTCAACCTTTCGCTCACAATTATTGATATATAATAAAATTAAGAACTTTGGATTAGAATTATTGAAACAAAATGTAGACAAATTTAAAAAAAAAAATTCTTTTCAATTTGCTTTTAAAATAATACCTTCACATTTTTCTCGAATATTCTCGTTTCAGAAGTTTTTTTTTTAGGATTTATTGGATATTATAGAGTCATATTCCAAATTTAACTGACAGTTCATTGGTTTGGCCTTGGCGAGAAGCTTCTCCGGTTTTGAATGTCGGTCAGCTGGGAAGTAAAATGAGCCGCGCGCTGCAATAAATGTCATTTCGGTTCTCGTCGGCTTTTGTCTTTTTTTAACAGCACCGTTTGTGGTTTATGCATTTGTGCGCTTGTGCGGATGCCTGGCTCATTAATCGCTCGAGCGCTCCCATGCTCACGAGTGCATTATGATTTAATATGAGACGCTCCAAAGGTGCTAAAACGCTCAACCTGCCGTGATTCAAATTAATCGTAAAGAGGTGGAAAGTTATCGAATAAAAATAATAAACGCTGTAATTAAATTGTTGTTTTTATTTTTACCTTCATATTTGTATAAAAAACATAGTTATCAATCAAGAGACTACTTACTAACATAAGTAAGAAAGTTTTATTCTCAACATGCATCACTTCTTTTATCGCCCTAGTTGCTAAAACTGCTCAAAGTTTTATACACTTTTAAGACATTTGAGACGAGAGAGATTTCATATCTTAATTATTATCATATCCAGCAGCAAAAAACAAAAATGGCACATCTGGCAAAAAAACTTAACGGACGATTTGTTATTTACAACAAAAAAGGTACTTGAAAATGCGAATGTGCCACAAAGTTTTTTATATTCTCAAATATATAATATATTTCTAGACAGGACCGATTAAGAGAGCTTATTAATTAAAATTGATCGAATTAAATTACTTAACAATAATTTGTGTCTGTACAGCACATTTTCAATAATTTACAGAGGACAGTCTATCTACATCTCGATCTGATCAACCTTAGAAGATTTCGACCGCGACTTTGCCGAACCTTCGCGGTTTGCTCTTCTTCTCGGCGGTGGAACAGGACGACGCGGCGCTACTACTGCTCTTGGCGTACTTGCCCGTGTGCAGGAAGAGGTGGTTCTTCAGATTCGTGTGCTTGCTGAAGCCGCGATTGCAGATGTGGCACTTGAAGGGCCAAGAGCCGTTGTGCACATACATGTGCGACTTGAGGTCACCAGGAGTCGGGAAGGACTTCGAGCACAGTTGGCACTTGTGGGGCTTCTCCTGAGAACATAATTTAAGAAATTTTGTTAAAAATCAATATTTTATTTATCAACACTAATAAAATATAAATTGTAATCAAATTTTAAGTGAATTAGAATTATTATTGAAAACATATTTTTATATTTATATTTATTATTATTAATTATTTTTTTTTTATAAAAAGATGTAATTGAATTTTTGTGTAATGAATTTCGTGCATTATAAAGTAATAATCTATTTTAAATAATACATATTATCAAGTATCATAATGGGTTATTAATAATTTAAATATCTTTGATTAGAGTCCAAGCATCATATGGTGTATTTTTTTTTTATTATCTTACAAACGCAAAGAATTGTAACTTTCCATTAAAATTAAATTAATTTACTTTGCATCAATTTTAAAAGAAATTGTTTTAACTCCTGCAGTTCATGGAGTGGTGATTAGTTGGAAAGGCAAACTCCACACTGCTGGAAATGAGAGCCTTGGTAATTGAATCGCACTCGCCGCAATTGCTCTGGCTGCGTGGCCGCCGTCGATAAAAATCTAAACGCATCAGCACGCCCCTCGAGTGCTTTGCGTTCCTGCATCTCTCATCATTCCATCAAAACAACGTCAGCGCAGGTGCACGACTTTCGTTTCCAAAACCAAAAGTCTCTCGCTCTCGTCGGAAGATGAAAATAATTTTTTGTCTCGCGTCGCGAAAGAGAGATAAAGGATCAGATTTGTTATTCATTTATTCGAACGTAACGAGAGAGCAGAGCACGGCCGCGTGCATTAAAAAATAAAAAGCGGTAAACAATGAGCCTACCAATCACGTTGGCAGTGACATTGACGAAAAGATGTCAAAATGGAACCCCTAAATAAGCATCAAACGGCTGCTTTAAATAGCCATAAACTTCATTTTGAATACAATAATAATAACAACAACTCTTGGCTATTCATCTCTCATTCTGCGCCGAGTGAATACTTAAAAAAAAAACCCACCGGCTTAAATTATGAGTGCGGAATTTAAATAGCCCGCGCTTTATACTTTCAAATCGGCGCAGCCAAAATTGAGCAAATTTCCTACTTGATTCCAGGCAGATAGGCATCAAAATTTTTTCAGGGTAATGAAAAAAAATTGAAAACTATTGTTCTCGGTGCACGTCTTGTTTGCGTTATTTACAAACGAGAAGAAAATGATTTCCTGCGCACATGTTGTTTCTCGAATTTCCTTTTCCAGATTAAATACATAGTAATTCGACTCATGAGCAGCATAATGATGTGACAAAGCTGGAAACGCCGTCAAGGGTGACGCCGGCCGGGGTGGAAAGAAAGAACAAGAGAGTCTTGAGGAATTGTTATGATGCGTTCAAAAAATTACATACGCCCCCTCGAGAAGGCAGCCAAGCGTCTTATTTCCCACGACGCGCATTAAGAAAATATCACACGCCACCCCGGCATGCACATAATAATTTTTTTCTGCTCAAGTGCTGCTAGCCATGAAATGCTCCTTTATTGTTCTTTCTTAATAATGCTCTGCTTCTTATTCCATATGGCCACCCCTCGCGTGAAAAGGAAGTCGGATAATCAGATATTCGGCATAATTTGCGCTTTACCCTTACTTATAATTTGTACGGCCACCTTATGCCGTCTGCTTTTCTTTCTTACATATAGTGCTGCTGCTGTTATCTTACGACTTCCTTCCGCGAGCAACAAAGGAGCAACATATGGGACGCACGGTGCAATATATTTTTATTAATACGCCTCTCACCGACTTTGAAAAGCGTGGATTATTATTTATATACGCGGGGATGTGCGTCGAGCGGGCTGCTTGACTGATGCTGGGTTTGTTTTGCTTTTATTGCTCCACAGTGAGAAAATGGGAGAAGTGAGAAAATTTGATATCACAAAAAGGTTATTAAAGATCAACATAAAAGACAGAAGTAGTATCAACTGCATGTGTTTTTGTTGTTTCTTTGAAGACAAATTAAAAAAATTCTTAGAAATTAGCACAAAAAAACATTAAACCATACTTTTCACGTGGTTTTACTGAAACTGTGCAAGAATAACTATATTTGAAAGAAAAGAACAAATAAAAGTATTTTTGAATTCAATTCTTAAGAAATAATTTAGCAAACTAAATTACTAATAATCTAGCGGTTCATGAAGATGTTTTACATAAAATTCCTCTCACTATAGCATAAAAATTCAAAAAAATTAAATTGATTTGTTTGGTTTTTATTCTTATTTATGCATTTTCTTTCACTAGAATTAAGCCAAGCCAAATGTTTGAAGCTTAAAAGTCTTTCTTTTTTATATGTGGCACACCACGGATTAAGAAATGACGTTTGCAGCGGCGGCATTCGAAAAATCCTAACAGTTTCCCGACGATTTCAATAATTCTGACGTCTTTATTAAGCGAGTCGTCTCGTCGTTTCGCTGCAAATCGCGACCGGTGCGCGCACACACACTTAATTTTTATTGCACCGAGAGAGCTCCGCGGGCCGGCGGGGAAGAAAGAATTCCGTCCCAGATGAAGTTATCATATAAGTTACCTCGAAAATTATTGCACCGATACCATCTTCATTTCAATAAATATTCCCGCGAATAAATTGACCATCTCGGCGGCACATTATTAGCGGAGGAAAAGTTAAATTATTTTATCTCGCGGCGATAAATCGGCGCGCTCGGAATTGCGCCGACGATGGCTTTTGATTTAGGCAAGAATCTGAATTTATTTGATGCTTTCGCTCGCCCAGATTATTATTGCCGCGAAATTCGAGCCGCTGTCATACCGCGCGCTGCTATCATTAAAATGATCTCATTTCTGCTCGCAAAAGGTGCTGCTCTTTTCTTCTTTCTACCCTGGCTTACTGTGCATATAAGTCGAGGTGTGAAACACAGAGCAAGCTTTACATAAAAACTGTCTAGATAAGAGCATCTCCGCCGCAACTGCTCATAAAAACACCCTCACACACCTGCTGCCGCCTCTTAAAGTGGAAAAATGACCCACGGATGCCTGCTGTTGCAAATAGACTTTGTGATTTGTGTATAATATATCGAAATGATAAACATTTTCAAATTCAAAAATTCAGGGTTATTAGGAGTTATTTAAAAGCTATTTTTGGATACGTTTTATACTATTTTTGTCACTAATAAAACAACTTCAATTATCTTTTGTTTTTATATTAATAATTTACTATACTTTAAAACAATAAAATTTTTTACTTTTAAATTTATAATTAATTCATTTTTAATAATGAATTTTAAAATTTATAGATCATTGATACGAAAATTAGATTTCAATTGCTTTACAAATTTTTTTAAAGAAATATTTATTTTAGCTTATAAGGTTACATGGTTCAAAGAAAAAAATTTAAATTATTTGGTTATACTTGCAATTAACAAACTAATGTGGTATTAACATATAAATTTTTTACGCTGTTTTCATAGGAATTACAATTATTATAATTACACATACTTAGTTAATTTATAAAAATAACGTATGTTTATTTGGTAATTTGAATAGGAGGCCAATTGAGCTAATTTATCTAATTTCTTTTCAAATTTCGATTATGCCATCAAATTTATATGTGATTTTACTTAACAATTTGTTTAAGCAAAATACGATTTTGCCATAACTTCAGTCAAATTTGAAAGTTAAATGATATAATTATGTAGTACCTCTCTCAGTTTTATACGTTCAGCGTTTTATTTTGCGACGGCCGGTGACGCGACGAGTGCAAAAAAGTTAATTGAAAGTCCCCTCTTTCTCACATGTGTGTGGTTTGTTGTTCCGCGTGTGTGTGTGTGTGTTTTGCTTTCAAGGTCCTCCGTGTAAATTATAATCTCGACTCTTTTTCTACACACATATAAAAGAGCCGAGGCGCGCAATAATAATAATCAAGCAAGAGAGCAGAAGCAGGCGATGTGCGTAACAATACGAAAGGGCAGGCCGGTGCTTTGTAAGACAAACAATAGTTCCTTCTGGAGGCGCGCGCTCGCGGTTCCTTTGAGCGGCGACGTCAGACATATGACCAAGTCAAATTACCTAATTCTACATTGTAATGTGTATTCTCAATTTACCAGACGCACCGGCGGCGGCAGCCGAGACGTGCATTGTCTTTTGGCCGAGTATAAAATAAGAAAATAATCCCATAAGTTTTTTCCTCCATTTTCGGCCGAGAGAGAAGAAAGGAGACGAATTCCAACAGCCGCCGTTGGGATATATAAATAAGCTGCTGGCAGCTCAATCAGCGCCCGAATTGGATTAATTTGATGGTGCTGGAAGAGGACCGAGTGTAAAAATTATCTCACGTGTGGCTGAGCGGGGACACTCGTTAAAAAAACCACAAAAATCCTTTCAAAATTTTTCTCACGCAAGTTTATCTATGGCTGGGTGTAAAACGGTGTTTAATACTTTCTAGGCGTTTCTCAAATCATTTAAAATCATTAAAAATGTGGTAGAAATTAACAAAAATTAATTGTAATAGTGAAAAGCAGACAAAAATGTATAATTCAAATTTCAAATTTTGTTAATTGCACATTCCTCATTGAAATGTCAGACAAGCTTGCCATGTAATCTCAAGCAATCTCTAAGATATTTGATCATTTTTTTTTTTATAAATTATTGAACAAAGATATGGAAAATTACGTGAATAAAGTTATTTATCAATATAAAATTATTCGTGAATTGAATTTAATATTTTTATTCTGGTCCTTTTGAAAATTTTTATTTCTACTAATAATAATGAAATTAGAGTTTTCTTTTAACTAATTTCCTACAGAATCCCAATTTCTCCGCTCATAAATCATTTGAATATATCACTCGGAATGTAAATTTTTTATTGTTGAAAGGAGCCGCGTGTTAAATCATCTCCGAATGTGCTCTCCAATGGCAACGGCAGACTCAAGAGAGCGCGGCAGTCCGAGATCAATAATTAAGAGTGGAGAAAATGCCGCGCGGCGCGCGATCTTTATCTCTCCTTCGAAAAGTATAAAAAGTTAATGGGCAGAAGGAAAAAGCTCCCTTCGG